AAGAGTCAACAAGATGGGGTTTTGCACTCATCACTAATCAGTTTCAAAGTGTGTCGTTTTATTCTTCTCCAAGGCTTATAACGCCCTGACTATTTTAAAGCGTTATGAGCCTTGGACAGAAGAATAAAATAATACACTTTGAGGCTGATCGGTGATGAGCCTAAAAACCTATCTTATTGATCTTTCTCCTTTAAGTTTACAATAAAATCCAACACGAAATACTTCACAAGAAATATTTATTTTATAATATAAAATTAAAAAATATATATATTTACAAATTTTATTTCTTTAATTAATTATTGAAGTTAATTGAAAGTCGTAAATTAATATTATACGCATTTGCTGCTTTTCTCACAGGTGGCCATCTTCAACTTTCTTTGCCGTTGTTGCATATGTTTTTACATTTACAGATCCTCTGTTTGTCTTTTTTTTTGTAAGATCGTACCATTTCACAGACTTTTATAAATAAACTGCTGATTCAATATGACAGAAAGAGATTCCAAGCTATCCTTGTTTCAGTTTGTTTATGCGTATGTATGCGTCCTGTTTGTGAATATCGCATAAATTTATGTAAAAACACTAATGTTATTATCTGTGTGATTTATGTATAAGAAGCGACGAAATAAAATTCTTTAATATTAACAATAAATAAGGAAAAGTACACTAGCAATGAGAGTCAAGCGCAAATAACTGGAGCGCAATAAAATTATCAGTGATATATTAATCGATAAATAACAAACGTTTCGACCATCATTCTGAGCTATCATCAGAGAATACATTACTTGTATATGTGATTCTTGTCTCAAGCTCCACTTGAAAAGTCATGTATGTAAAAGTCATGTATCTCTCACAATAGTTGCAAGATCAAGTGATTTTGAATCTTGCAAAACTCATTTAATATATTTTAAAAAAAACTTGATAGAAAGACTTACCAAAAGGAACCGAGATTTGTGATAGAAACCATGATTAACAAGTTTAAGTATAATATTAAGAAATTATCGTTTATGTGGTACTAGCTGGATACTCAAACAAAAATTCTGTCATTTAACTAAAATCGAGTTAATGTATGAAATTTATGAACTTTTAATCGTAGTCAAAGTATTAAAGTTGATTGTATCAAATGGATAAAACTTACATTTAGTACTCAGCATAACAATGATCCATTATAACGCTAAGTACAATAGACGATAAGTTTTTAAGTTTGGACAACAGCCTAGCAATGATTCATTGACAGCATTTATTTATTTATTGTGTTAGAACGCATCAATTTTGATTCCGATGAATAATTGTTACACTGAAGATGACTTAACTTCTACGGTCGAAACGTTTGTAATTAGTGATTGACACATACATTATTTTTGACTACACACGTACAACTTTATTGGCTCTCAGTAACCTAATTTCCACCGAGGGTTTAAACCGGATTAGAATGTAAAAATCAACCAAATACAGTTGAGCATTCTCCTGTCATTCGATTGTAACAGAGGAATACTCGACTGTAGGTTGGTTGATTCTTACATTCTGATCCGATTTAAACCCTCGATGGAAACTGGGCAGCTGGCTTTATATTTCTTTAGATTTAATCTTTAGAGCCTTATTTAATTTTAATTTTAACTATACATGGAAATTATAATATATTCAGAGCTCTTTCATCCTTTAAGAAAATCATGCAAGTTTGTGATAATTTGATTAATTGGATCTTTTCATAACAATCCCGCGAGATAAGACTCAAGAACTTTAAATATTTAAAAAAATTTTTTTTAACTCGTTTCATCCCAGGCTGCAATTCATCGTTGAGGTTGGTGGGAATGAATTGAATTTTCTTGACTTAAAGATCATAAAAACAGTAATAAAGTCGAGTTTGACTGGTATCAAAAATTTTCTCAGGAAAATACCTAAATTTTCACTCTTTACACCCTCTTCCTCAAAAGAAAAGTACATGACATGACGGACAAATCCTTTTTATTATCGCATCTACGTTATCGCACGAAAAGAATTTATAATTTATAGTCAACACTTTTACAATGTCTATCCATTACGATTCATTTTTAACAATATAACAACAGAATTCTATTAACAAGAATAAAATATCTTATAAAAAATCAGATTAACAACTTAAAAAATAAAAATAAAAATAGAAATAAAAATAATGATAACGTTACAAAAAACAAATGGTTTATTATATCATACATCACATGAATACCCGAAAGGTTTAATAAAATAATGAACAATTTTAAAATGAACAAAACAATTTTAAAAACTTTCGTTTTTTAATTTAAACAAACTTGAATGTGTTCTTTATAAAAGAACACAAAGACGTTTTTCCAACGAATAAAAGAATCAATGTTGTTTATAAAATAGAATGTAATGATTGCGATGCTAGATGTAAAGGACAATCATGCAAGCATCTCAAAATCAGAATTTCTGAACATTGCAATCATATTAATAGAAACACGACGATCAAATCGATAATTATGGACAATAGAATCAATAACAATTACGAATTGAGAGAAAGTAAAAATTATTGATATAGAAAAATTTTTAGACAAAAGAATAACATCTAAAATGTTGTACATAAAAAGACAAAAGAATAGCATTAATTTACAGTCAAACTGAGTTCTTATATCACGCATACGTGTCAATAATAAAATAAAAAATATAAACAGAGTTTTGTCCGCCATGATTTCGTACTAAGTATCACTTTGGCTACGTTCTGCTTAACACTCACAACTCTCGCGAGCATCGTTTGTCCTATTTAATATTTAATAAACAACAAGGATAATATAATTCCACGAGCATTACGAGCGTTAAGGAACGCACTTTTTTACTTTAACGTTTCGTTTAGTTCACACGTATCTTCGTTAATTGTGACAAAATTTCTTAATATTATACTCAAACTTGTTAATTCGACTGATCATAGTTCCTCCACAAATCTAGGCTCCTTTTAATAGTCTTTCTATTAAGTTTCTTTTAAAATATATTAAATGAGTATGGTCTCGTTGCAGAATTCAAAATCACTTGGTCTTGCAATCATTGTGAGAGACATATGATTTTCCAAGTGAAGCTTGAGACAATAATCACATGTACAAGTAATGTATCCACGATGGCTCGGAATGATATCGAAAAATTTGTTATTTATCGATTAATAAATCTCTGATAATTTTGTTGCTCTCCAATTATATTACTGCGTTTGACTCTCATTACCAGTGTACTTTTCCTTATATATTGATTTATATATGTGAGAGTGAATGAACACAATTATGGCGCTGCCCAGCGCTATCTTCAAACATGAAGACGAAATCAGCAATTTATTTATAAAACTATGTATCATTCTGTAGAAGAAAAAAAAATTGTTTTCAATGGGATAAGTTATTACATTGTAACAATCTGCCCCGATCGAAGTGTAACAACTTGCTCCAATTTTCCGTTTTCAATTTGAAAAAGTAATATCGAAAATCAGTACATAATATTGATTCAAAGAAAATGTGTTATTATAATCAAATGTATATCAAAGAAATATATAAAAGGATAATCACATATCTGTAACTTATATATACAATAATATACACAAGCAATTTATACAATGAAATATTTACTTTTAATAATCAAGAAAATCAAGAAAATATACGTATCGTCTTTTTTAAAATTCAAAAATGGCGGCTGAACTTGTAGAGTATCATAAGAATCACATATAAAAATTCATAAAAATATTTGTCACTGTGGCAACTAAAAAAAAATTAATCCCATGTAACTTATCCCATATAACAACTTGCCCCGGTCTTCCTTATTTTGAAAAAAATTTTTTATAATATTCATTTTTAGCAAAGTCATAAAAATTAAGCTATGCTTATGCTGGGTTATTTTTGTAATGGTGTTTAAGGGTTTTATGTGTAATAATCCTATACCCAAGGAGAACAAGAAAATCAAAATAATGTTAATTTGATGCTACATTGATGTCATTTTTTGGATAAAAATCTCGATCTCAGATGATTTAAGAAGACTTTATACATATATAATTTATCATGACCAAAAAAATTACATCAATATGATGTAAAAATTCATCAATATGACGTCATCAGATTGACATTATTTTGATTTTCTTGTTCTCCTCGAGTATTGTCTGTATCGTACTTTTATTAAATATGTACACGTAATCATATTTGTTATTGCTAAATATATTATGGATAGAATATTCCGAAATATTTTAGATATATAACTCACCACAGTATAAGTAACGCTAAAGCAAACAGTCAGTATAATTGCAATAATATTGTACTTATCTAATATATTTTCGTTCTTACCTCGAAAATTATGTCCCTTTGTTCCTTCAAAGATGTGCACGTCAATGTCAGCCATATGTATTTTTTCTCTCGTAATTGCCGTAATGAAGCTGTAAACATTTTTTACTATATCGCGATAGTCAGCCTTATTATCGAAAAAACTCTTGTCAATAACGACCGCTGCAAGATTTAAAGAATATTTTATTATAATATTAAAACAGTGCCGATATTAAAAATGATATAAAATATAAAAGAGGAGAAGAGAGTCATCCATACCCAGCGAAGCATTAGTGGATATCAACGATGGAAAGTCACTGAAAGCGTCACCCGAATTTAAGATCCACGCAAGGAAGAAGACGGAAATCATATTCATTGACAGATCGTATTGAAACCTGTCGCGCAAACCGGTTGATATATAAGCAAGAACATTGTTCAATAATTTATAAGTTTATTACTTTAGCCAATTTATTATTATCGCATTAACCGGAATTTCGTTAAGCCCGGTCGAAACGCAATCGTAGACTGAGCACACTTCTATTCCGTAGTTTGTATCACGAATCAAGAAAAAGGTCGATTCCTTTAATAACTTATCGAGGAGCGATCGAATCTCATCACTGCTTGAAACGGCTCATCATTGGCCTACATGGACTAGACTAAATTAGAAAAATCATCACGGGAAAATAAAATGCATCAAATATTCAATCGGTGTTTCATTGGCCCGGAAATACTATCCACAGGATAAAAATTGTCTTCTCTATATAGTTATTTTAGATTGTAATTAAACTAGAAGATTCTCGCGATCATTAAATATTGTTTTATTTAACGTTTCTTACGTTGCAATTTAGTAGTAATTGATATGTATATATATATA